TTTACCTCCAGACACGCGTGTCTGGAGGTAAAATTCACGCGCGTTGTCGCGTTTCCTGCGTGGCGCCGAAGAACAGCGACAGCCAACCAACATGCATTTATAGCAACATGTGATTGAAAAGGTTTTGAAAAGGAAGGCACTTCTCTTGTTATGGAGCTAATCGGTTAAATTGTCATTCAATACAGCATGAATCATAACTTTTCATACGTGTATTCGATCGGTAAATCGGGGAAATGAAACATTTTTTCGTTCAAATTGAATGTGTACACAAACGACATGGATTCAGAGATTCAGAGTGGCATTGTAAAGTTGTGAACACGTAAGTGCCTTTTAAACTAAATTTATTAAATATGCATGAAGCTCAATCGCATCTGCAACAGAGTAACTGAAATTGTATGTGATTTGAGGACAGTTTGTTTGCCAGGTTCAATCCTTCTTGTTCTTGAATATTCTGAAGCTCTTCGATATGTTTCTATCTTATGATGTTGCCATCTCCATCAATGGGCCATTCCATTTATTAAATATAGCCAGGCACCCCCCTATTGAGGGGTCCCTTCCAAATCCCCTTATATATATATAAACATTTTAGAACCCCCTTGGATGTGATTTTTGGAAGTTTCCCCATGGATATCTTGATACCCCCTTTAGGATATCGTTTTTGCCCCCTTGGATATCACTAAAACACCTAATTTTTGCTATTTTTTGGAAAATTTTTAGGTAAAAACCCCCTCCTCCATAGGATATCCAGACCCCTCAATAGGGGGGTGCCTATATTAAATGGAATGGCCCATTATAAAGGATCCCATGGACAGGGTCGAGTATCACAAAAACATCTTTGGTTGTTGGATTCTTAAAAGTTACCAGAAAATTTGCAACCCAGTGTTTTGAATGTACTAATGTTAACATTTGTGCCATCAGCTGTTACTGACCACATTTTTAGATTAGCATTTGCAACTTTTTCAAGACACTTTTTACCAGTGTGGCTTGGTCCTTTGCATTCATTTTATCAGCCAAGAGGTATCCCACTGAACATTTACAGTACAATGACTTCTGGTACCTACCAGAAGAAAAACCAAAGCTTCTGTGGCCAATTTTTCTAAATGTCCATTAGGAATCTCATTTCCAAAGTCTACAAATCCGTAGGAGTCTTTTTCTGGATTCCAAATGGTTTGTTTTCGGATAGACATTGCGTCTATTACCAAACAGTAATCTTTGTCAGTATTTGATTGAGCTCGGCTCGGCTGATAATGCTTACCTCAACCTTCTGAGAAAGGGATGAGAATGCCTCATCAATAAAGCATGAAAAAGATGGAAAAGCATATTTTTTGAGTCGACATGTGTTGTTGGATGAAGGAGGCAAGATGTAATCAGTTGATTGGAAATGCTTGCTGCCTATATGACTGTCCTGGTTGACTTGCCATGGCTTTTTATTAACTTTTTTGAACATAATTCTCCCAACATATTTGTAAAGCATTATTTTTCAAAGGAAATCCATAACAATAATAATAATTTTTATGTAAATTCAGCTTAATTATCACCCTTCTGTCTGTCTGCTTGTCTTATTTATTCCTGTGTTTGTTTTTTTTGTTGTAGGTGATGTACACATGTCAAAAGTCAAAATGTGTAAAATAGGCTTGTTTTTGTTATATTTTCTTTGAAGTATCTAATATCACAGGTTTATGTTTTTTTGGGTTTTTTTTTTCCTGTGTTGGTGTTGTGTACTCAGGTGAATATGATATTTGTGATGTTACTCTGAGTGTATATCCACACCGGGCAAGCTTGAAAAATATGCCAGGCCACAGAGGGATTTGAACCTACGACCTTTGGAATACTAGCCCAATGCTCTTCCAACTGAGCTACGCGGTCAGGACGGTTCGAGTAAGTGATATTTAGGAACTGAATCTAGTTCCTTCGATACCAATGTATTCTAGTAATATGATTTTTTTTTGGCTAGTATTCCAAAGGTCGTAGGTTCGAATCCCACCATGGCCGGGCATATTTTTCAAGCTCGCCCGGTGTGGATATACACTCAGAGTAACATCACAAATATCAGGTTTATGTTTGTTTTTTTGTGTATAATTAAGCCCAAACTAAGAAATATTGTTGCAGAAACATTAGTGATTCTCAATGTTTCCTCAAATGTTTTCCCATTTGCCCACCTGTGGAAACATTGTTGCAGAAACAAATTTTGCTTCTTGGGAAACAAGAATGTTTCCTACCAAGTTCAGACTAAGATTATAGTTGCGGAAACATTGTTTCTCCGTTTGCCCACCTTGGCCGGCTTTGGAACATTGGCAGGAAACAATGTGGATTTTTAGTAAAGTAAACAAAGGATAAATAAATACCTGTGAAATGTGAATTTTTAGTAAAGTAAACAAGAAATAAATAAATACCTGTGAAATGTGAATTTTTAGTGAAGTAAAATGAATAAATAAATACTTATAATAATAAATAAATAATAATATACTATCTATTTCTTCTTATTTCTCATTCATGGCTCATAAGGGTTGTTATCGTCATGTTTAAAGGTCGGTCAAAAGTACATATGAAAGATTTTTATTTTTCCACACTCAGGGACAAAACTAGGTTTAACTTTGCATTCTGCTCACCTGGCATTTCGAAAAACAAAACAAATAACGTAAGTGTAAATTCTAAATAAAAACTAGGCATAGTTTTCATGAAATTCATTAAAAAAGACAAAGTTTATTCAATAAAAAACATCTTTCGGCAGCGACATGATTGCATTTTCAAGGATATTTTTTAAAACAATTTATAAAATCAAATTTAAATGCTTGTGTTTTGGCCGCGCGTATTTATCGCGAGGAAAGACTTGGTTCTAACCGGAAATCGCGGCTTCAAACTTCCGGCTGCAGGTAGCGTTCCATATATTTTAGTTCAATGAGAAGGGATGAAACAAATATCACGTGACTTTTTAAAATGCTTCTAGACTACCCGTTTAAGCTTTTTGTGGGGTTTTTAAGGCTCAGTCGATGTTCTCTTACATGAACAAGCCTAGTCATTACCAAAAAAGCACTGATCAATCTAATTTATGTGATTTATAACAGCGAGCATTCTTGGCCATTATCGCGAGATGTGTTCCATAAGTAGCCTGTTCTCGTGACGTATGACGAAATAATAATAAAACTAAATAATGTAAAAAAAACCGTTGGTCGCTACATTTAAACATTTCATATTAGCCGGTATAGCTAAACATTGTTTATTTTCATTAATTAAGCGCTTAGGCGTTGTTGGAGTTGGCAGGAGGCGTTTTGGAATTTTCCGAGAGAACAGGCTACTTATGGAACACATCACACGATCGCATTACCGGTGTTTCATCCCTTCTATTAATATCTATTACCATCGCCTTCCGCTCACGCCCGCAATCCTTGCTGTTATTTTCGTTGGAACGTCATGTAATATTTTCGTTTTGTCAATTTATTCGCCATATTTGAACAATCGTTCGAATCAAGTGTTTCTGAGCGATTTTCTGAGCGTGTATAAGCGCCCTGTTAAAAGCTATTCACTGCAAATACAAGCTCTTATGATTTATACAAGTAAGTGCAATAATTTAAATATATTACGTTATGATGTTTTATTCATATTACTTAATTAATGTTTTATTCATATTCATGTCACAGCTCTTAGTTGGACCCCCTGTGATAAAACTTCCATTATTGTAACTGAAATTCCTGGAATTTTTTGTAAGGGATAGATTTAACTATTTACAAAAAATAAAGAAATATGAATAAAGATAAAATAAGACTACAATCCTGGACATAAATTATTGGCAAAAGGGTACAAAATAAGAAAATTCATCGAATTTCACCCCCCCCCCCCCCTTCCCCTAATTTCAATGTTGATGGGTGTATTCGAGGCCAGATAACTTGGCAAAAAATTGATATTGGGGGAAGGGGGGGGGGGGGGTCATTGGGGAAAAAATGTCATAAAATTATATTTTGAAGTAATAAGCAAGTTTTTGCCACTATTTATGTCCAGGATTGTAGATTGCAGGTGAAAGGGAACAAGAAAATACAATGTTTTTTTAATGCACGAACATACACGAGCAAGTTTCAATTCATTCTTTGTTTTGATATCGATTTGAAAGAGCTTTAAAGATTCAGCAATTTTTGCCGAGGGCCTTTTTTAATATCAAGGAAAATCCCAGGAAAAGTCCCTTTTTCCTAAATCTATGAACAAACCAGTGAAGAGAAACAAATCGATAAACGGAAAGTAAGTTTTAGGCTTTATCCTTTGTCCTTGTTTAACAAAATCGATTTAAATTGTTACGTTTTTTCACCACTAAGTAATGATAAATTATTGTTAATAATTATTTTACTTTTTGTGCGTTTTTTCCTTCTTTTATTCCAAATACAAGCATAGTTACCATAAATTTTAGAGCAAATTTGGATGCTCAGAATGCAGGAAATGGCATTTCCGGGTTTCAAATTTCAAAAATTTTCTGGGGAGTACGCCCCAGACCCCCCTATTCATGCGTGGTATGTCGGCCACACACGTGGCCTTCAGCCGTTCTTATCCACCTCTAATATATTATCTCACAGAAAGATCCCTTTTCAAAAAATGCCTCCCCACCGGAAAATCCTTAAAAAAGGCCCTGTTTTTGCCTGATGGGGAAGATTATTGAAACACCTCTTGCCGAATTCTCTTTTCTCGGCATAGGTGGTGCTAAATCATTTTCCCTATTTCTGAGATTGTATGTATTATGTCTTCATTATTAGATTATTAGAATGCTTCTTCAAGAAGCTAGATTTAATTAAAGGTAGTTTCTTTAGATTCTCGAGTAAATCAGATGACCGAATATCTTAAGTTGCCTCAGTAGTTACTCTTGCAGCAGGATTTTGGTATTTTTGCAACCTATATTTGAGGCCAATTCCGCAATTAACCCATAACGGGCTGCAATAATCGAAATAAGACTGTACAATAGCATTTATTTGCATTTGCAATGGCGTTATATGCCTGAATGGCTATGGGAAGCATACCTGCCCGGTAAATTTTGAATTTTACAGAATGGTCATTTACTGCATTTTCAGATTCAAATTTGGTTGATATAAATTCTCTGATATACTTGCTCCAAAACTCACCACCATTTACATTTAGATCGAACTGCAAAAGGGGAGGCCTTAGCATGACAGATGACCTCTGTTTAGAAGGAAATAACTTTGAAAAAAAATATTAAAACTAGAAGTTACTATCGCAAGGAAATGCTGTCTTTCCTCCTTAGGGATGAAGGCAGCATGCGCAATTTGCTGAAAAGGGACCGTTTATATGATCCCCGCTTTGCCAGGACGAGATTAGTCTCCTACGCAGCTTGTTCGCGGGTCCGAGGTTTTCTCCCCCACTAACACCTTGGACCCGCGAACAGGCTGCGTAGGAGACAGCGACAAGATACGAGGCAGGGTGATTTCGATGTACTGAAAAGTGCACCGTTTGAAACGATTTTTTTTTCTTTTTAATTTGAACTATTTTGAGTTTAAAATACAAATTAATACTAAGTAAAATATATACTGAAGACCACTGTCAACGCGCAAAAAACCAACATATATCCGTACATTATTACCGCGAAAACAACTTTATAGTACATAACACGTTGATCGGATTTAGCGAATATTCTCACACATGTGCGGGCTGGTATTTTCAGCGGACATCATACACAAAAGTTGGTTAAGTACTTCATCTTGCATGGATATATTGGATCCACGTTCCTCCATCATCCACCATCTTTAGTTCTTACGCACCCTGTGTTATTTAAATAGCTTAAAACAATACAAGATGAAGTTGTTACCCAAAATTGCGAGCTCTGTGAACTCTGTGTAAAATGCGAAGCTTTCAATTTTTTACTGCTTGTGACACGCCGGAAATTCGAGCCTGCATGCTGCCTGTACTGGGAGAAAATTCGCTGAATAGGATCACCTGGTATATGATGAATATACACTACCCCAACTGAGAAGTGTTGTGCTTCAAAAACTGTTATGGATGACAATATATTTGTGTGTTAATAATATTGGTAATCATTCAAAATGCTGTAAAGTCTGTAATGTAAACAAACGCTTTGTTTACATTTTGAACTGCTATATTTGTAAAAGATGATATACTAATTGAATATCTAATACCTTTCTGGTTCGCTATGCTTGTAAATGGATATAAACTCTACGTTTCGATTCAAAAAAGTTCGAAAGATGCAAAATTTGGGCAATGTTTGTATCTGCGGGTCCCCCTTTGTTATGAGCAGAACTGATGATCAGAACGGACTTTACAGCATCTTTAACAATTATTCGCCGAAGACGAGGTGATTATCGGTGAATTAAAACCGAGACGAAGTCGAGGTTTTACTCACGATAATCACCGAGCCTGAGGTGAATAATTGTTTTAGTATAATTTCATAGGTGATTATTTGGAAAAAAATAAAAAGTACACACTTCTTCGTCATTTAATTGACAAAACGGCTTCGGCCGCCATTTCGAAAATCGCTTAGGTGATCATCGCGTGACCTCAACGGCAACTAATCAGCGTGGATAATTGTCAATAATCACCTATGTAATTGTACTAATACGAGGTGAGTACATATAGCTAGTGTATATAGAGCGTTTGCACTCGATCATTCCCCAGTGACCAACTCAACAGAAGCCATGGCCATGTTGGTGTTCCACTGAAAAGAGTCTAATTAAAATTCTTTTGAATTGGAATACCAACATGGCGACTGTGCCGTCATGGGCAAACGCTCTATGAAATTGAACGAGACAAGCCCTTCACTAATTTATCGACGGTAAATAACATTGTCTGTACCAGTTGGTTGGTGGCTACCGGTTGGTTGATGGCTACCGGTTGGATGGTGGCTACCGGTTGGATGGTGGCTACCGGTTGGATGGTGGCCACCGGTTGGATGGTGGCCACCGGTTGGATGGTGGCCGCCGGTTGGATGGTGGCCACCGGTTGGTTGGTGGCCACCGGTTGGTTGATGGCCACCGGTTGGATGGTGGCTACCGGTTGGATGGTGGCCACCGGTTGGATGGTGGCCACCGGTTGGATGGTGGCCACCGGTTGGATGGTGGCCGCCGGTTGGATGGTGGCCACCGGTTGGATGGTGGCCACCGGTTGGATGGTGGCCACCGGTTGGATGGTGGCCACCGGTTGGATGGTGGCCACCGGTTGGATGGTGGCCACCGGTTGGATGGTGGCCACCGGTTGGTTGGTGGCCACCGGTTGGTTGATGGCCACCGGTTGGATGGTGGCTACCGGTTGGATGGTGGCTACCGGTTGGATGGTGGCTACCAGTTGGATGGTGGCTACCAGTTGGATGGTGGCTACCGGTTGGATGATGGCTACCGGTTGGATGGTGGCTACCGGTTGGATGGTGGCTACCAGTTGGATGGTGGCTACCGGTTGGATGGTGGCTACCAGTTGGATGGTGGCTACCGGTTGGATGGGGGGATGATTTATGTTCCTCACCATTACCTCCGGATCCATCTTGTGTTGGATAGAATGTACCTATGTGGCCAGTCGGGTGCACTTCACCAGGATATGTTTCACCGGTTGGTTCTTCATCTCCAGATTCACCGTCATCTCCCGATTCACCGTCATCTCCCGATTCACCTTCATCTCCCGATTCACCTTCATCTCCCGATTCACCTTCATCTCCCGATTCACCTTCATCTCCCGATTCACCTTCATCTCCCGATTCACCTTCATCTCCCGATTCACCTTCATCTCCCGATTCACCTTCATCTCCCGATTCACCGTCATCTCCCGATTCACCTACATCTCCCGATTCACCGTCATCTCCCGATTCACCGTCATCTCCCGATTCACCGTCATCTCCCGATTCTCCTTCATCTCCCGATTCACCTTCATCTCCCGATTCACCTTCATCTCCCGATTCACCTTCATCTCCCGATTCACCTTCATCTCCCGATTCACCTTCATCTCCCGACTCCGATTCATCTCCCGACTCCGATTCATCTCCAGATTCAGTTTCATCTCCAGATTCAGTTTCATCTTCAGTTTCTAATATACAGATTGTGAAATGTTATTTGCTACTAGTTTAATTAAGTAGAATAAACAACCCGTTTCTTAAATCTAGACAATTGATGGTTCCGATACTCCGTAGTTACGGTTGCAGCGGACACAAACCATTTTGAATTTGTGTGAGAAATGTTCGTTTAACCCCTTTTCAAAATTACGTGACCACTGACCAGGCCGAAAATAGCTAGAGTTGACATGTCAGTTTTATATCACACCGACACGGTCACGAAGTTCAAATTGTTTCTAACTTTGAGATCTACCGTTCGTTATCGATGCATATCGACGTTATTTATTCATTGACTACTTTTTAGACCAGTGTACAAAAAAGCGCCAATTCATTGATGACAATAAGTAATGAAAGATGAGAACACTACCTCCTGCTCTGAGCTCGGCAAGTTTTGATTCAATCACGTGTTTGTTAGAGGGTGTTAAATCGCGATAGAAGTGACGCCTTGTATCTACGTAGGTGAAATTTTTTTTTATTTTTGAATCTTTGATAGCTGAAATAACATTTCCTGCATTTAAAAGCAATATTGTCCAAGTGCATTTTCTAAGATAATTTAATTTAAGTGTGGGGGAGGGGAGAATTCCCCCAGTTATATATCAAAAAAAGGCTGATGGTTATGCCTTATAAACATACGACCACATCGATCAGCTTAGCTGTAATTGTTATCATGTTAAAATAAATTATTATTACTACAGGTTAACTACGTGAAGCGTTCCTCATTTGACTTCCTAACTCATTTGGAATTTTCCTCATTAGATTTGCAAATTTGAAAAACTCTTTGCAAATCCCTTGAGGAAATTTGCAATGTTCTTATCGGCTGTTGCAATACTCCAATGCAAAAAAACTTCATTTTAAATTTTCCTAACTTCCTGTTTTAATTTCCTGTCCTGTCCTGTCCTGTTCTGTTCTGCGTGTTGTCATTGGTAGATAACTTTTGTTAGCCAATTGCAACGCGTAGAACAGAACAGGAAGTTATAGGAACTTGTAACAGGAAGTTAAGAACTTCTAACAGGAACGTACTGAGGAAACTTTAATCGGCTTTTAGGAACATTGCAAAGTCCCTCAAGGGATTTGCGAGGGAGTTTTTTAAATTGCAAAGGTAATGAGGAAAATTGCAATGAATTTAGAAACTCAAAAGAGGAATGCTTGACGTAGCTAGTCGTTTACCTGTAATATGTTTATTTGGAATTACTGAAATTTCTATGCAAATGGTACGTGGATAACCTAGGCGACCAAAGGCGTCCACTTTTGGTTTTCGGACGTCCCAAGATGCCCGGACCCCTTCTGAATGATTAAAGCCTGGACACAATGTTGAGAAGGTCTAATCAAACCAATTAGTTTCCAATTAATTAGTACTAATTACTGCCAATTTCAATACTTACGAGAATCGACTTTAGCTGGTTTTTCTAAAAGCAATTCTCTCTCAAATTCTCCTATACGGAAAGAAAAAATAATATCACGATTCAGTTTAATTTGAATCAATATAATACCATTCACTGATAGGCCCTCTCACTCACATGCCCCATACGGCATACGCTAATGATATCACTATTTCTTTTGATTACCACTATTGTTTAATACCGCCCACTAAAGCGGACCCCACCCCCAGGATTACCCCTTCCATGGCTACGCTCTTGTAAGAGGTGTTGCAACTATATAAAGCTCAACCAGAGTTTCGAGCACATATATGCAAAAAGTTTCGAGCACATACATACATGCAGTGAAGGGCGCGGGCAGCACCGGAACTACTGGGAGTGTATGTGTGGAAGGGGGGGGGGGTGTGACACCCCCAAAGAAAAGTCAAGAAAGGGGGCCGAATTTCCCCAAAGGGGGCCCCGAAATGCTGGAATTGCCAATAATTTAAATATTAACGAATATGGTAAAAAATGGAGGTCGAAAAAGGTATTTTAATCCCCTATTATCCCAAAAACATGTTTGGGAAAAGTTTTTTGGGACGTTTTATTTTCGTAAGAAAACGTCGACCTCCCCCCACTCCCCCTCCATTGCCAACATTTTCCGGAAACTTTTTTAGGGGGCCCCTCCGAAAGGAAGGCCGCCCAAAATTTCGAGTTCACCCCCCCCGCAACCAGATATCGCTACACTCTTAAAACACTCTGGTTAAATTCAACCAGGAACTGGATCAATAAACTACCTAGCACATTCCTGGTTAAATTAACTGATTTCCTGGTTAAAAATTATTGATTCAACAAAAATCTGGCCATACTTCTTTGGACTTTTAACCAGGAAAATGGTTTAATTTTTTTAACCAGGATTGTGTAGGTGGATTTTTAACCCCATCCTGGTTGAATTAACCCAAATTTAACCAGAGTGTTTTTAGAGTGTAGTTACGCCCCTGGGCGAGGAAGGAGGGGGGGGGGGGTGGATCTACTTACTGAGAACATCTTTCCTTATTCCCAATCCATTCCTTTTAGCCGGTGCAGCATGTGATAAACTGAAAATAGCCACAAGGACCTATAGGATAAAAATTGAATAATTACTTCTGGTAAATGGATGTATAATACGTACAGAACTTGGTCAAACCACTAAACAGCCAAAAGCCTGAATTTTCTTTTTATATACACCCTGTATAAATTAAACTAGCCATTTTATACGAGTTGAACTGCTTCGATTCATCAGTTAGTTTGCACATATACAGGGCTTTTCAGGGACCGTATTACATCAAGTATTACGTTCACGTATTACCTACTTGGCCTAGACTAATTATCTTTACAACAATTATGATATTACTTTCCTAACCGTGTTTATCGTAACTCACCCTGTCAAATTTTTCTGTGGGAGGGAACCGGAGCGCCAGGAGCCGAACCTACGACTTTCGGCAGAGCGTTGACTGACTCTTAATTCTCGCATCAGTCCGTAGCGATGTCAGAGGTGAAAGGCGCTTGCCCTGATAGCTTATATTAGTGATGGGCGATACTATCGAAAAAGTATCGAAATCATCGATACTTACAAAAGTATCGATACTTTCGATACTCGAAAAAAGTATCGGTAATTCGATACCACTTGAGCCTGCGATGTTTTTGGTCAGTATTCCTGAAAAATCTCTTAATACTTCATGAAGGCAACATACTGAAGGCAATAAATGTTGACATGATGCTGTTCTTTAACAAAAACATGTAGCCAATTAGCAATATATTTGAGTAAAACATTGAACACATTGATATTGTTTATGTTTAAAATCATAATTGCAAATGTTATGTTCGATTATTTGGTAGGTACTCCAGTTAGAGTATTCTTTGACTTGTTAACATTAATGTTCTTGTTTTAAAAGTTATTTTAATAAATGGAAAAAATTGAGTATCGGTATCGATTTTGGTATCGGTATCGACCAAAATTCATGGTATCGGACTGGTATCGTATCGAACCCAAAAAAGCTGGTATCGCCCATCACTAGCTTATATATGCGCTTGTTCGCGAAATAATCAGTTTTATAATATAGCATTTTTAAATTCTGAACGCTGATTGGCTAAGAGCCTCAATGTCAACACGGGAAATTTTCCGCCGCTTGTAAACAAGGAAATTTTTCTTATCCTTCGAGCTTTTGACATTGCTATATTATAATATAAAAAAAGTATAAAACATTTTTCCTTATTGATATATAGTTATATCAACACTCGTGGAAGTTGGGAAAACTCGAAATTGTATGAAAACATGCACTCCGCCCTTCGGGCGTCGTGTTTCCATGTAATTTCTCGTTTTCCCAATTCCACTCGTGTTGATATAACTGGATGGATGGATGGATGTTAATAAGGGTACAACACAGGGGAGCGTAAGTGGCCCCTACCTTTTTAATATTTTCCTAAATGATTTAGAGGTGGACATAGACGGCGAGAACGCTCTTTTTAAATATGCGGACGATTCAAATATAATAGTGCCAGTTTGGGGTGAGGGTCCTGATACATCAACAGATACAGTTGGACAATTCCTGAGCTGGTCTGATGATAATTTTATGACTTGTAACCCTGGTAAATGTAAAGAGTTTATCATCCGGAAGAAGGGATATAATGATCAACTTGACAATGTTTATAATATACCCCAATGCAAAGAACTTCCCATTTTAGGTACTACTTTTCAAGACAATCTCAAGTTCACCAGTCATGTGCGAGGTAAATTGGTCAAAGCAAACAAATGCTTGTACGTTATACGAACACTCAGGGCAGAAGGCTATAGCCAATGTAAGATAGATTATCTATTTAAGACCCTAGTAATATCTACTATAACGTTTGGCCTGTCCGTCTACGGTTCTTCTCCAGCCGAACTCAATACTCTACAACGGTTTTTTGACAGATGTTTTAAGCGAAAGTATATATCAGAACCTGTAAATATTAGATATCTTTTAGAAATACAAGACAGAAATATTTTTAAGGCTTCTGTAAATCAGAAGAGTGCCATAGTCGACTTGATACCAAGAAAAAATCCACAAGCTACTCTTTGAGGACAGAGTTTAGTCAGTATCCAAGAGTGAACACGGAACGTTTTAAATTGTCGTTTGCAAATAGATTAATTTTTAACTATAACCTATTCATATGATGTAAACTTTACTAATGTATTCTTAATATGTACTTGTAACATAAGATATGTATTTTTATCTTTTGATCTATTAAAAAGACATTTGAATTGAATTGAATAACTGTATATCAACACGGAAAATGTTTTATATTTGTTAAATAGTAGAGTTTGATTCGTAATTCGGCCTAGTATGCATGGAAACTGTTCATTTTAAACTTGTTTCAATCAATCAATCAATCAATCAATCAATACAAATGTATTTAAACACGGTAAATCTTCAGTACATGGATAATCTAACTATTATAAGAGTAATAAGACAGTTATAAGTTACATACACACATCAATTATAAAAAAATCTAAAAATTATCTACTACTGGTTTACAAGATTGTCGTGTGGATTTCGATTCATTCTAGTTAATATAAAGGTTTTTGTTAAATTTTGTTCATTGCCCGACTCGCGCAAATATATTCAGGCCAAAACTGGCATTACAAAAGTTTAAAAAATATAGCGCTAATTCCTAGCGCAATAGTATGCAGATCAAAGCGTCGAAGACCGAGAGTTCGATTCTCACTGCAGACGTACGACACTTATGTGAAAAGACTCAGTCAACGCTCTACCGAAAGTCTTGTGTTTTTCGTGGGTACTCCGGTTCCCACCTACAGGAAATGTTGATTGCATGGTGGATTGGAATAAGCCCAAAACTGACCCTACTAGCTTCCATGACCCTTCAATGATCAGATAACCTGTTAATGATAAACTGTTAATAATATGGTTCCTAGTTACTTGTCTGGAAAATTTGCTTCCACGTCAATGATACACGAACATAGTTTGCGTGGATCTAATCATAAACTTTTTGTACCAAGACCTTTAACGGAATCCTTGAAGAAAAGTTTTTCCTATTTTTAGCTACCCTATGGAATGACATACCCGTGGAGCTCACTAGAGTTCAATCTCTCGCAGAGTTTAAATCTAAAATATCTTAATATTTCCTTTATATTAGTTTCTTTGCATGTGTAGTTTGTTACTTTTGTAAATAGTTTGATACCTTTTTATTAGTAATTAGTCTACTAGTATAGATATACGTCTCCATTGAAGAGCACATAACATAACCTGTGAAATGGACCTCGTGTTTTAAATAAAGATGTCAATCAATCAATCAATCAATCAATCAAATACGAGTCATAATGTGGTCACCAGGCAGAGGAGCCCTTAGCGGGAAGCCTTCAACTCAGTTCAGCTGAAAGTTAGGTTGATTAGCACACTCCCACTTACTTACTCTAACTAAACCAGGCAATATGTTTTTAGTCGCGACAGAAAAATATGTAGGAAATGAAACGGGTGATTACAGACAATTACATGTGACTAAATGACCAACTCCTATACTTCTTCCTCAATTCTATACTCTAAATTACTTTAATGCAAGCGAGGCGCTTAATTAATTACTTTCATTTCAGCATACGCAATTTTGAGAATGTTGCTCGAGGATGTTGCTCAACTTGGGAATGTTGCTCGAGTTAAGAAAAGCGCGCAAAATCACTCGCCTTCGGCTCGTGTTTCGCGCGCTTTTCTTAACTCTCGCAACATTGCCGCGTATTTGGATCAGGCCATCCAAACACGGAAACCATAAAGTAATTGTTTTATAAAATAACAACTATCCGTGCTAAAATTTCACTTTAAAAAACTTTCATGATGGCCTGATCCAAACACGGGTTTCGACCAATCAGAGCACGCGTTATATACATGTTATTTTATCAATATTCTGGCCCGCTTTTATTTCCGCATTGAAATTCCAGTTCGTGCTGAACATTTAAAGGTTGAACACATTAACCAATTACGGGTACAAATATAATTATTTCCTGACTAGTAACTTGGCTAAGTTTGCTCGAAATTACTTTTGATCACTTACCCTGTAGACTGAATTTCAATCCTACACATATACATTCAAATCTTTTGACAGAATTGCCAAGGTTGAAATTTTAGATCGAAATGCAGAACACTATATGTGCTGTACTGGTAAATCGCCCATGCGTTTGACCGATGGCCGGTCATACGTTATATCGACAATTAAAACGTACCATGCATTGTATATTATTTTAAAGACATAACTCCAAACAACGAAAGATGCTATAATAACACTATGAAACACGATCATATAGCATTTTGAAATTTCAGTTCGAAAACTGAGTTATCATACTATATGCAAACGGACAATAACAGTAAAAGTAAACTCAGTTGGCAGAGCATTGAGCTAGGCTAGTATTCCAGAGGTCGTAGGTTCGATTCCCACCGTGGCCAGGCATATTTTTCAAGCTTGCCCGGTGTGGATATACACTCAGAGTAACATCACAAGCATCATATTTACCTGAGTACATTACACTTGACACAGAAAAATCATTAAAAGTAAACTTATTTATAACTCGACAAATACAACTATATCATAATCTTATGTTATATCAAATAAGCACTTACCAAGGTTGCGACAAGAAACGACTTCATTCGACTTGAGTTGATGTCTATTACTGTATTAGTAAAACTGCCAAATTTTTAAGTCGAGCTGTTTCGTCAAGGGTGAGCCAAGGCAGAATGATTCGACACCGTCCAGGACAGAAGTTTATCTTTAACAACGCCCAGTGGGATTCGCTATGCATCATTGGCGCCTACTCAGCTTCCCACGTTAGAAATCAGCGACCAGAACGGGCTGAAAACACTAGTTAATTAAAAACCTAATGACCAGCATGCAATTTAGGGGATGAGGTCTGAAAAACAATTAGGAATGGTCGCATGCTAGGAATGTTAATGTTATATTATGCAAGCAATTAGAGTTTTATTCATATTCATCTGAAATCCTGCTGAAAAAAATTGCATTTCGAAATCAATAAGTCAAATTATTTTATGCCAAGAAATTAGTGCGAAGGTAGTGGGAAATTTGAAATGTAACAATAACTTTTAAAATAGCTTGAAATGTGTCGGTGTAATGTACTCAGGTGAATAAGATGCTTGTGTGTTCACTCTGAGTGTATCACTTACAAGCATCTGAGTGATCACTTGTGTGATCACTCAGATGCTTCTGTGATACACTCAGAGTAACATCACACAAGTAGGTACAAACGGTTATGTGCACGAAATTATGAATTGTTACACTATACAGCCATTTAGATCAATCAATCCTAATATATCGATTCAGAGCAGTCGTTGACGGGCCAAGGTGTAGACAGCTAAAAACGACTGAATGTGTCACCGATTCGAGATCGAGTTAAACCAGACCACATCGAGACGTCTCGGGTCGTAGAAGGGTTTTTAGATGGAAATTTCAAGTATGAATTTTATACATTTATTAGATTTAACCAGGATCCCAGTTGCGAAGAAATGCAACAATAAGCTAATTTCTTGCTTAGCGGCCTGCAACAGGGCTAATAATTTCTTGCTTGGCAGCTTGTTATTTCCCTCGCTCAATAACGGTAGTTATAACTTATAATAGGATTAATCCATTCGAGTTTTTGTGCAAGTATGCATGGACAGACAGCCAGAAGAGGCCACGTACTATAACGGGTGGTTTGCCGCAGCCTATACTATAACTACAATTCCCACTCTGAATACAAATCAATTTCGTTAAAAATTCACTACGTTTCTTACTGTTGTATAACTTGTGTTTACACAGTATATAACGGAGTGGTTTGCCGTAGCGTATTAACTACGGACTATTCCGGATGCAAATCACTACGCTACGCTTACGGTAAATTTGCCGTAGTCGTGTTTATTATATAGTAAAGAGTGAGATACTGAAAAATACACAGTGACATATTTTCCATATCTTCACTAGTGAAGACATCGATCACGTGACAATTTGACAATTTGCTTTTGTGCGTGAAATTTCACATTTTTTTGCTTGGGACCATATAATAAACAGAACATTACACGGTGGCTTGAAGCACGCTTGAAGATATGACTTTTATCTTCTCGTGTTAAAAACAATATCTTACTCACTCGCAGCTGGGCTCGTTTGTAAAATATTGTTTTCACCACTCGAAGCTAGATAAAAGTCATATCTTCGCGCCGCCGTGTAATATCTCTGTACAAGCCTTGGGCGGGCCTAGCCTTGGGGCCTGGCCTTGGCCAGACCAAGGTAAATGTGACGCGTTTACACCATTACACAGTTTTTTTAAGACTGGCTCACTTTGTCTTTGATCAATAATTAGTTGTAATATATTTTGTGTATTTTTATATATGTATATGTATATGTATATATATATATATATATATATATATATATATATATATATATATATATATATATATATATATATATATATATATATATATATATATATATATATATATATATATATATATATATATATATATATATATATATATATATATAATTATCATTTTAATTCGTATAGCGGTAATTGGAATGCATGCCTTTATGCCTATAATTTAACGCCAATGTGTAAATTTTTGGTTTACGGGCGCCGAGAAAGAACGGAGAAAGATTTGCCCGACATTGAGTGGAAATTGCCCGACATTATCATGGTTTTATTGATAGATGAATACAAGGTATAGAAGGAACTCAACTCATTCCTTTTGAAAACGACTATGTGGGGTTTCTATTTCATTTCTAAGCCACGCTGTCGCTTCAGTCCAATGACAAAAACGCTTTCGAGCAGCCGTAAATGACAAACGATACTGGGGTCAGAAACTAAAGTGCTGAACTTGCGCGAATTTAGGTCATGCAGCATCACTCGATGCAATCGGACAATTAAGATTGACATTTGCGGCTAGCGGACACTCGGAGACTGCATACCTTCGTCACCGAATTAAATTCTGTGTCATGAATAAATTATACAACGGGCTAATTGCACAATTCAGTCCAATTTCTCATCCAATTTTCAATCAAATTTAACCAAAATTTAATTAATTTGTCCTTGGGTAATGTCGATTAATTGGTCCCACATTTTCGTTCCTCCCAAATAAGGTATGCGTCTTACAGTGCACATTTACTGGTCAGTATAAATAGACTTAGCCATATATATATATAGCCTATATTATCCTTACAAAAGCGTCGTTGGTGAAAAAGTTTGGTAACTCAACCATGAAATGTATTCGAATACATGTGTTTGATCACCGACTATACCATGTGGAGTTCACAGCTATGCGAAAAACCAACATTACTCAGCAATTCTCGAAGTCACATGAGAAAGTATTAGATCATTTTCGGCCGCAAAAGTCGGCATTCTGGCAAAATCTATATTGATGGGATTAGAATATCGGTACATGCATTATTGCAAAGTTAATTATGAGCTTTTAGCGGTGCCCACATGCCTGTTTGATGTACAGCTAATTCAATTGTCCTTCCAAAAGCTTAAACCTTAAATGATGATGGTTTATTGCTTATTTTGACTCACAGACTTTGAAATTTCGCTTTGCAAGAATACTTAAGACATATATAGAAGACTCACGACAGAAAACATACTTGCTGCAAGGGCCTAATAGGTGAAAACCCATCATCCCTTGCGCGCTCAGAGTTTAAGGTTTAAGCTTTTGGAAGGACAACCTTAATTGAATTAGCTGTATTTATTAAATATAACTTTAGAATCCGTGCATGGGAATTTTGTGTATCTCTATTTTGTGATATATGCATGTATGTTTATTATTGCAAAGCTTTCCGTATTCGTCAGACATGCAACGTGTAATAATTTTCGTGCAATAATTTTCGACTTAGCTCACACATCCAATTTTATACCTAATCATATAGAGGGCAAAATTACTCAAATATGATTGGCTAATGAGGAGGGCATTTTTTCTTAATTGATAATTATCTTATATTGACATTTTTTCTTAATAACTTTTTCTTTGTACCTGATTGGCTGAAATGCAAGAGCAGGAAGTTTCTTGTTCTAAGGCGGTTTTCCACTAGTCGAAATTTTTCGATCGAACCGAAATTTCTATTGTTCAAATTCAAAAGATTTCTGTTTTTTCTGACAAAGGAAAAAGGTCGCTTCGCGCGAAAAAACCCGCTAGTGGAAACCGGCTTAAAGGCCTGATTCCACGAGGCGGAATTTTTCGACCGAAACGAAATTTCTCTTTGTCTTTTTACAATTAGTTCTGCTCGAGAGCTCTGAAACAAATAGAAATTTCGATTCGGTCGAAAAATTTCGCCTAGTGGAAAACCGCCTTTAAATAGCAATTAAAACAATGACTTTTCGCTTTGTCGTTGGGGATGATAATTTTATTGAAGAATTAAAAACTTCTAGTGAAAACACGACCACTAGAAAAAGTACAAATTTATGGGTTGGAGCTTTTAAGAAATGGGCAGCATTAAGGAAGATCGGCGAAGACATGGAGACTAATTACGAGGTTCAAGTGACTTGACAAGTTCACAATTTACTTACGAATAATTTTGCCCTCTATGATTAACAAGTAATCGCATAGTTCCTCGTAAAATCAAGGTTTCATTTTACTTTCGTTTTCAAACTTTCAAATTGTCGGAAAATTTGAAAACACGCGCGAAATTAAACCTTAATTTTACTTTGCAGTACGAATTGAAAGTGTCGTGATCTATTGAGGTTTGTTCTCTCATGTTCGCGTGATTTGCTTGGCAAAAGTTTTAAAAGTCATCACATTGACTGAACCCCTTGGGATTGGGATTTCTTCTAAAAAATGGCTGGGAATTGCGTGATTTGAAGAAAATTTCCCCAAATGGCATCCAGATTCCCTTTTACCATGCACCCTCTTAAACGTATAGGCGTCATATCCTAAGTCTAAGACAAATTTAGGACTGCCCATTTCAACAAGATAATACTGTGAGGCAGTTGCGAGATATGAGTTCATGACGGATTATACATGCATACATATACTCAGTCACACACACACACACACACACACACACACACACACACACACACACACACACACACACACACACACACACACACACACACACATACAAATTTTACTTAACCACGTTAACCGTTAGGAGGCCATTTCCATGAGGGGCGTGAAATTTGAATTTCACTTTTTACTCCATGTCAACTTTTTACTTCAACAACAAAATACAATGTTTTTTAATGTACAAACATACACGAGCAAGTTTCACTGAACTCATTCTTTGTTTTAATATCGATTTGAAAGAGCTTAATTAAAGGAAAATGGCAATATAAATTTTTATTTTCTCAGTTTGAAAAAAAAATTTGAAACTATATGTTAACTTCTTTTACCGATTTTTCATATCTTCCTTAATTCTTGAAATATTATCACTTGAGTAATGTGATGTCCGCTATCTTGAATAAATTTTTTATCTCATTATAATTAATTAACAGTAGTTTTGGTGACGTCATAGCAGGGATTAACCATGTAAAAGTATTCGCATTCGTTGCTGACCAAATATTGATTGGTAGATATTTTAAAGGTTTTGAGTGATCTTGGTGTTTCGACGCACAGAGAGAGTATATATATAGTTTTGAGCGCAAAATGATTAGTTGTTGTCTAGCTAAACTATTGCGTGACCCCTGTTGTGACGTGACATGCATATCTACAAAAATTGAAGATGTCGGGCATTTCATTCCTTTCGATAAAAATATTTGTAGAAGT